CCATCCCCCCCCACCCCCAGTCTCCAAAAATCCGATTGTGTTTTCTCCAAGGATTGGGACTGGATTTTCTGATTGCGGTTATTTCCATGTTTCTAGGTTTGTGTGATTTTGCTAAAATGCATCACCAACAGCGAATGGCTGCCTTAGGCACGGACAAAGAGCTGAGTGATTTACTGGATTTCAGTGCGGTAAGAAAGAACGGTGGAAACTAACAACAGCTGTAAAACAAAACAAAACCAAACCAAAAACCCCAAGCACTTTGAGCTAGAAACCAATAGAATCTAAAGGACAGGAATAATTTTTAATTGGCTGAATGCTTGGTAAACGTGAAGGTCTTTCTGATAAGTTTTTAACTACAGTTTTTGGGTGTGATGGAGGATTCAGGCTTTTTTTTTCAGTCTGATTACTTGCTTTGAATTCACTACCCACCGAACCCCCAAATAATGGAGTCTCACCCCAGTGGAAGGGAAAAACAGACACCTCTAAACTGTAAACCACCCTTTAACTTGGCCTTATCAGAACCCTAAAAGTACTGGTACTTTGCGTGCTACTCATTTTATTTATTTATTTTTCTGAAAATGGAAAAGAGAAAATAGGAGACCTCAGTTGGCTCAAAGTTTTAAACTGATGATGGTTTGGAATCAGTAGGACCTGCCTTCTCCCACTTAAATCTTCTCCTGGGATTCTGAGAACTCGTGTGTATATGCTGAGCACACATTCTTTAGAAACCCTTTAGACTTTGTAAATTTCGTAGTGGGGCGATCAGCACAAAGCAGAACTCACACACTTGTGGAGTCTTACGGCTGAACTTGGTCCTTCTCCATCACTTTGCCTCCCTTCCCCAAACCAAGTCCCAGGCATATCAGGGGAATTAATTCATTTTTAATGCCAGATGAGTTTGGTGTCAGATGCATTTGCAAAGCAAAATGAAAAGAATCCACAAAACACACAAAATCCAAACCGCCTTCTAAGTGGGGGGCTCTCTTTTCTTGTTGCTGCTGCCGCCGCCGCCGCCGCTGCTGCTCCTGTTGCCGCTGCTGCTCTTCTAGACCTTTTGGAGAAATGGCTTTCGGAAGTTTTGCCAGGAAACGTAGCCCTAGGCAGCTTTTAGCCCCCTTTCTGCTTGCTGCACTTCGTCCATTCGTTCCTTTGCTTTCCGCAGGCTCTGACTCAGGGAAGGTGCGCGTTATCCACTAGATAACGTCGAAGAAGAGGGAAACCAATTAGGGTCGAAATAAATGCTGGAGAGAGAGGGAGTGAAAGAGAGAGAGTGAGTGAGAGAGAGAGAGAGAGGGGGAGAGAGTCTTGCTTCCAAACGCTCTCATGTTAGAGACGAAATGAGAATTTAGCGCAGGTGGCACTTTTATTTTTATTTGGGTTCACATATAACAGGCAAATCCTATACGGGATCGAAATGGACATTGCCACGTTTATGGCCAAGGTTTTCAATATAAAATAAACAACTTTTTTCTTCTCCTTTGTAAAACTCGTGTCTTCTAGAGAGCTCGCTGCCCTCCAAACCGAATCTTGTTAACATTATGAGGACTGTGTTGTGGTTTGAAATGTAGTACTGCCTAGTTCTGGCGATTTAATGAACCTGAGGAAAAAGAAAGAACAGAGTGGGAAAGGGGTGGGGGGGCAAGAGTGATTGGTAATATTGTGCCTGTTTTAGTTTTAAGTTGGATGGTGATGTATTTTACTAAAATGAACACTTAGCATAAACTGTACATTATATAGTGAGAGTATGAAAGGTCTCAGATGAGCTCTGAAGGCACCGATGTCTTCTTTTCAACAGTAATATTTCTTTGTTTCTTTTAGATGTTTTCACCTCCTGTGAGCAGTGGGAAAAATGGACCAACTTCTCTGGCGAGTGGACATTTTACTGGCTCAAGTATGTAAATTTTTTTCTTAGTGTGTAGTTAAATGTTCTTAGCTGTTTGTTCACTCATGGTATATTTTTGGCTCTGTTAAACTGTTCTGCAAAAGTCATTGAAATTTTAGCCTGTAATGATATGGTTATTTCATTATCCATTAGTAGTATAACTTAGGCAAAAATGTTATCTTTTGCAAAATTAAAAGTTTTTTTTTTGAAGCAAGAAAACTGTCTCAGAATTCTGTCACTTAATTTAAAAGCAGTTTTCTGATACAGTTGTAATCAAACATGTGAAGATAAGGCAGTGTTAACATGGAGGAATAAATCAATGTTTCCTTATTGAAAATAGAGGGAAAAATCTGACTTTCATGAAAAGGTCAAGTTCCTTGTAAATAATATCAAGTTTTCTGGGAACTATGTATAATTAACCCTTTTTAAAAAAATGAGCACTAAATTTTGTAGATGAATGCTGCGTAGTAAACCATAGCTGTAAATAGACTCTTTCTAATCTAAGAGCTGAATATGAATTCATTTGTATTTAAAATATCCTTTTTGGTGCTTTAGCTGTTTTTCTCCCCCTAAGTATTTACTTGGGCAGTGAATTTTTGCTATGTTTAAAGTTACAAATTTGGAAGGACTTTTACATTTTATAAATGAAAGACCTTTGGCTGATGCTTTCAAAAGACGTTAGCGGTATTCACAAAGGAATCTGTGTGTGCAATGATTATCTGGTATCTAAGGAGGAGTTTTAATAGGGGACTTTCTGAAGGTCTCTTACTAAAAGTGAAAATATGCTATTCATTTAAAAAGTTATTTTTTTGTCCAGTGAATTTCATATCAGAAGGCGGCATACATTGTTGCTTGCTGTCCTTTTAGGTTCAAGGCTTAAATCCATTTATGTCTGTTAAACAGCTATAGTATCTTAGGAGTTCTGGCAGTGGTACCTAACAGGACACTAGACAGAGTCCTGTTCTTAAGTCAGACTGGTAAATATTGACATCGTTTAACTATGAGATACCAGTGGAATTGTCTGTTAGCTGTTGAAGATAATTTCACATCTCTTAATATTCATTTGGTGCTGTAGCAATGAAAGAAACCTATTCATCTCTGTGATTTGTATAATTGGTATGTTTTTTCTAAAACTAATGGCTTTTAAAAGTTGCTCATTTCCAAATAAGTTACTTCTCCTTTTGCTGGCCCCATAAGTCTAAGGGAATTATCTCTAAAACTCAATTTATGAAATATGAGATGCCTCCTATACTTATATCTTATCTTTTTTTGGGAGGAGTCCACTTTGATTAAAAGGACTCTTGACCATATGTTTGTGTTTTGACTGTCCTAGAACCTGTTATATTTTTAATTTGGGACTTACATTTTTTTTTTTGTTTTCATATTGTATCTTCCACGTTTCTATATTGTGTTCTCTACACAGTTTTGAAGGAAAGAGGAGTGCAAATGTCTGTTGTAGGCAAATTAATTTTTCATGTTAGTATCAAAACTAACTTTATCTCTGACAGTAGTTTTCCTCAAGATTTTCCTTAAGAAAATGTGTATTCAGTTGAAATCTGAAATTAGATTATGTCAGAAAGGCTCAGAGATAGACCGCTTTCAGAGTCAGTGCAAAAATACTTTTTGTACTTTTTGTAAAAGCTGACACATTTGGAATAATTAAGTATATCAGTTTCGGTATGGTTTAATAAAGTAAGATTGATTTTAGAAGCATGAAATTGTGTTACATTTAAAAAGACTGTGCATCTTGGTCCCTTTTCTGTGTTCATATTTAAAATGAAGTCTTTGCTATGATGTTTAAGTGTTTACAGAGTATAGGCTTGATGAGTATGAATATGTATTAATGAATTTTGGTAAGTGGTCATATATTGAAACTTACACAGTTCTTAGACAGTATATCTGTATACATAAACCTGTCTTATACATACAGTAAATCTGTATAAGATAGAGATTTCATCCTTAGTGAGATAGGTTGTGATATTTCCAGTGAATATGCTGTGATTATTTTTAAGGTGTTGAACTTTAAGTGACTTTGTACCAGCCAAAGGTGTAGTTTTCAGGGCCATGTGTTTACTTGTAAAGGTGAAAAGTGTAGTGGCTATTCTGTTCTGGTGGCTGGATTGCAAATGCAGGGTATTCATCCAATGCAGTATGATGGGGACTGTAACATACAGAGTACAGATTGGAGTGTTGATTTTTCTCATCTGTCCAAGACATAGTAAGTGGCTTTGTTTCTACTCAGTAGCAAAGCTAAGTCCCCTTTTAAAGCACAAAAAATTAAAAAAAAAAAAAGAGAAAAACTGCATTTTGCCTCTTTACTGAAAGGATGAACTAGAAAACTTTGGACTGAGAAATAATTTTCTAAATGTACATCCGGTTAATATCCATTGTCCCGAGCAAGGGTGCTCAGATATCATTCTCATGGGTAGCTTTGAAACTTGGGTTCAGGGGAAAAAAGATTCAAAGTATAAGTGAACTGTTCATGTTGGGATAAACTGCTCTTGTTGTTTTCAGAGTGAGGCATGGTGATGTTTCATGCTTCAAGTTCTCTATAGCTGTGAGTTCCATTCATATGTAGGACGCTCCTCATGATGTGCAGTGTGAGAATGAAAATAAAGTGTGGCCATGTTGCCTTTAATCTTTCATTTCACAAACATGGTTTTCCCTACCACCTTAAGAAATGGTGAGGCTGCTAGGGAGAATGGAATGTAACCTGAGCTACAGCCTGACATTCCCAGGGAGCATTTTTCACATGAAAGGCTTTTGTCAACCCAGGAAAGGACCAGCCGTTTTTGTTTGATGTTTGCAGGTGTTCAGCAGAGAGCTCTAAAACAATTCAGCCATGATAGTTCAGAGTGTGGATGACCTTAACAGGGAGAACTGGTGGGCTCTGGAATTATTTGTAAGAAATAGTTGAAATCTATATGGTGACTTCTATAAAGGGATTGCAGATCCATTGTATCATTGATCTTAAAACAAGCTAAAAGCATCCACATGCCTGGATGACTGGAAAATTATTCTGATTAAAAAGTAGGATGGCCAAGTTACCCAAAGGGAAAAAAAATGCATTTAGAGTCTACAATTTATTGATGAACAGGGATTTAATTTTCTGATATAACAAAAATGCAGTTTTCTTTGGTCACCTTTGATTCTTTTATGAGCAAAAGATAAACAGACTAGCTTTGGCATCTTTTAAAAAGTAGTTTTAAAGTTGGGGCTCTAAAATTATCCATACTCAACAATAGCCCTGGTCACATCTGTTACAAGTATTTACACTTAGTCTGTGATGGATTCTACATCTTTCTCCCTCAGTTTAAAAGTTGAGCCTTTCCCCCCTGTAACTGTTTAGTTTTACTTAGGTGTTCAGCATTTGTTAAAGGTGCCAAGTGAATGGGTGTTTTAACAATTAACAGCAGCAATAAAACACCACATCCCTGTCATGGTCATTTTTGGAAGCAAAAAAACGTCTCTTGACATTCACACAAGTTTGTTCACCAATATCCATGTGACACCCAGATGACACATCAGTTTAGAAAATTCAGTAAGAAAAAAATATCGATCCAGTGGGTTGTTTTGTGTTGTAGAGAAGATTCAAATGGCCAGCCTCCTGAATTAATTCCCATCCGTACAGTTTGAGTTCATGGTTATGGTGTGAAAAAAAATTGGTCTCCCCCAAAGGTATTTGTGCAGTAGAGTTATTTAATTGTGTGTGTGTGTATCTGTTTTTAAACAGCCTTACTATTAACAGTGCAGTTCATAATGGTTGTGTGGCTTTTTGTAAAACGAAGAATAAATTAACAGGTTAAAAAACAAGGAGTGTGGTGTTAAACCCATTTCACTAGAATCATAGAATTTTTGGGGTCGGAGCCCCTTAGAAATACACAGCCCAGTGCCTTCACTGTACAGCCAAAGAAAACTGAGGCCCATGTTAAGAGGTTCTCAAGTGTGTGTTTATTTGCTGTTCTAAAAAACAAGTTTTGATTTGCTGATTCTCTGTGGCCCTGCAAATCTTTTTATTGGAGTAACATTGGTTTCAGTCCTATGTTTTATTCTGTAATTTGTGTTGCATTACAGGGTCTCAGGATTTGTGTACTGATCTTTGTGCCTACAAATGCTTCTAAATGTATATGTGCCCTTTGATTGTTTTTTAAGGTTTGGAGCTGAATTTTGGATTGTTGATCGTTCCGTTTTGCCTGATCTGGCCTGTGATTATTTGCAGGATGTTAGATTGAATAATAGGGTGTGGATGGGCATGATACTGATTGAATTAAAGTGCTTCTTCCTATGCCAAGTGGTGTGCTGTGCACTTTATATTGTATTTTTTTTATCCTCACAAGAACCCAATGAGATGCCAGGATTACCATGCTCAATTCATAAAGGAGGAAACTGAGATTCAGAGATGATAAACTACTTTCTTTCAAGCCAGCCAGGAATGAGTTCGGTTCTAAACCTAGGTCTATCTGCCTAGCTCAGTGTCTTTTCAAACACACTCAGACACACACAGACACACACACATGAGGCTTGGTGTACGATTCTATTCCTGATCATTAGAATAGATAAACATTTTTAAAAAACATGTTTACACTAATGGTATAAGCCATGTCCATTATTTTTCCTGCTTTATCATCCAAATAAGCTAGCTTTGTAGTTTATGTTGGATTTCAATGTGACTTAGTATCTCTTTCATATTATTATTATTATTATTATTATTATTATTTTAACCAGGAAAATATAATGGGTATTTTCAAAGTTGTGACTTGGTTCTACTGTAAATTAGCAGTCTGCTTGGGTACCAGTAAAAATATTTTGTTTTCAATTTTTATGAACCTAGTCAAACCCCAAGTTGAGGTAACCAAGCTTGCTCTGTTAATATCTTAAAAAAAAAAAAAAGGTTTCCTATCTTTAACTGTAAGTCTTACAGTTTCTTGTTAGATCTTTGAAACCTAATATTCCAGAACAAAAATCTTGAAATCTATCTGCATCCCTAAAATAAGCAGCTTTGAAGTTAA